ACCCAGTTACATTTTGATTTTTCTAGGGTGTTAACTGTACCTAATTTAATTACTTCTTCCTTTAAGTCATGACTAAAAGAATGGGGCAAAGAGTGGGACCAGAAGGGAAAAATACCTTATATGTGCACTAAAAGCTATAATTCTCAACTCTTTTTTCCCAGCAATGCACGACTGTTGAGAGGCCGTAAAGGTGCTTCTTGAGAGGTAGGAACAAAACAGCAAATTGGGGAAAATATTTGACAAAGAGTTAATAGTGGTGCTACATAAAGAGCTGAGACAGATTGTTAAGAAACAAGTCCTAAGTCTGATGAGCGTTGCAGGAATTGCAGGATCTTCCTAGGAGCTTAGAACAGGAGACCTAACTTGGCCTAGGAGTAAGGAATCTCAGCACCAGCTATGTTCAAGCTATGACCTGAAGGAATAGAAATTAGCTGAAAGTGGGAGACAAAGGAACATTCCAGACAGAGGTACCAGCAGCCATGGATGCTCTGAGCCAGGAACAGGCATAGTACATTTGAGAAACTGAAAGAAGGTCAGAATGTGCTGAAGCCTACGCAGAGAAGGGGAGAGTGGACGCTGTAGACCATGTTAAGGATTTTCAGATTTTGTTCTAAGTTTAGAAGATGCCAATGAAGGGTTTTAAGAGAAGGGTAATAAGAAATTTGCAGTTTTCAAAGATCTTCGATCCTCTGGTTGCAAAATAGAGAATGGATTGGAAGGATAGCAGGAAGGTGCCATAAAACCATTTGGGGGGCTGTTTCAGGGAAACAGGAGAGACATGAGGGTAGCTGGACCATGGAGACGACTGTAGGGATGAAGAAAAAGACATGGAAATGTTAAGGAAGTAGAATCAACTGGGCCAGGTGGAGAATTCTATGAAGGGGATGAGGAGGGNACCCAGTTACATTTTGATTTTTCTAGGGTGTTAACTGTACCTAATTTAATTACTTCTTCCTGTAAGTCATGACTAAAGAATGGGGCAAAGAGTGGGACCAGAAGGGAAAAATACCTTATATGTGCACTAAAAGCTATAATTCTCAACTCTCTTTTCCGAGCAATGCACGACTGTTGAGAGGCCGTAAAGGTGCTTCTTGAGAGGTAGGAACAAAACAGCNTTCCAGGATTTTCTTGACCACGATGGTGGCAGTTTCCTGAGTTGTGGAGTGGAGGTTGGCCGTTCGCTTGTTTACCTCTTGGAGGTCTTGGACCAGTCAGTAGTCATTAGTCTCAGGTTTTTGGACCGGTAGTAAGGGCGTGTTCCAGGCTAACTGGCACTTCCATAGGATCCCTAGCTGGAGCAACTGGGCAATGTGGGGTTGGATGCCTTCGTGTGCCTCTCGGGACATTGGGTATTGTCGGACGGCTATAGGACTGGCCTGAGCCTTCAGCTCTATGTGAACGGGGGCTGGTTTTTAGCCTTCCTTATCCCTACAGTTTCTGCCCACGCCTGGGGATAGTTTTCTAACCACCAGTCCATCTGTCTGGTCTCCCGCTCTTGTTTTTTTTTTAAACAATTGGTATTCATCTTCCAGCCTTAGAGTTAGTACCTGGAGAGGCTTTCCTTGTCGATTTAACACCCGAGGTCCCTCAGGGCCAAAATGAATTTGAGCACCTATTTTGGTTAGGAG